GTAAACAATCGCAAACTATCATCGACATCAAATATGAGCTAGACAATGGCCTTATCAGGATTAATTTGGGTTGAAACAAAAGTAAATAAGCCAATTAAGAGGCTTAATTGGCCACTTGATAGGCGTCGTGGCTTGGCTCCTTCCGTTAGTACCTTCCATGCTCATATTAAGGGATAGGGGTGGGTTGGAAGTTAACAATATTTTGTTCCCTACTACATTGATTCCATCACATTTACTTACAAGTGTGTTACACATCACCAATTTAGCAGTTACTGTGAAATTCTGGCCATGTGTTTTTCCTGCTTGAGTCATTTTAAAATCTTTTTTGTCCCTCACTTTGCTTTGTAATAACGACCGAACTCATCCGAGAACGTCTGACCATATCTAATTAAATATTCACATCCAGTAATCTCCCAATAAACCCGTCAAGTGTTATCTGTTGACCAAATAGTCGGCAGAAGTCATGGTAACAATAGCATCAAAGGGAGTTCACTCTCCTTTTTTTTTAGCTCCATGGGTCAATGACCACCATGGATTCTTAAGGTAGCAGAATAGTTTTTTGGGCACTTTTCACATTTTTTTTTGAAAATCACACTAATAGCTCCCTAAGGCATGCTACATACATTGGTGTTTTTATTTTATTGAAAAAAAAATATCTTGTACAAGTAAACTGATTTTTTCTTGTGTGCAAACAAATGGCCAAGTTTTTGTTTATCCAGTGTACACCCAACTAGTGCATCTCATTAATATGCATGGTTTACAAACATAACTGAACTGAGGGTAAATAGTTTTAAGTTGAGCCACTTTCTTTATTTGCTATTTACAAACAACTGATAAGATATCTGTTTGTAGTTTACACACAGCTGATAAGATGTGTGCACTGCTGCCTTTCTAGACAGGAAGTACAGCAAAGACAAAACAATCGCTTTTGAACATGTTAACAGAATAAAAACTTACAATAAATTTCTGTAATATTTTTTCTTCGCTTTGTCATTGAAAGGTGTCTGTAGTAGTAGTAGTAGTGTTTCACGCAAGGCAAGGGTTGACTTTTTCGTACGACTTCGGTAAAAAATAAAAGTATCATCTAAAATCTAGGTAGTTTTTATAGATGATAACAGTGAGTCCGGTTACAATTAAATTTTGAAGAGATTCATCTACAAGTATAAGACCGGAGGTTACTGCGACGGTAAAACTCTGTTTTGCGGGATTTGATTTTTAATAGCACAGGAAATGCTACATGCCGGCATACATCACTGGGTCACATTTTACAATTATTCTATTCACACCAATTAAAAAACAGGGCAGCTTCCTTCATTAATGTGCAAAATATGCAAAGAAGGAGAGGGTTGTCAGTAATTCTTTAGTTTAGTTGTCATTCACTA